CGTCCGCACCCCCAGCTAAGCTGGAGGGAAAACAGTGCATTGAACACAAACCCATCGACCCTCCCACCCACCCCCTCCCCAAACCTGCCTTTTTGTCTGGTTTGTTCCTTTTCCATAAAACTTCCCATCAGAAATACATTATTTACACATAAAATAAATAGAGCGGTAACCTGATTTGTGTTTGGCCTGCGGCAAACAGTCAGAGGTACTAGGGAAAGTATGGCTTGGATTCAACTCTGTACAGAACCGTGTGGGGGAGCCGGGATCAGCCTGCAACCCCGGCATGGCAAAGCCGGGCACCTTGCATATTTCCAGGCCTTGCATGCAACCGCCAGTCGTCTAAGGAGACTGGCCCCTTCCACTGTCCCTTGGCCTTTCTGCCCTCCCCTCTAGCCATTTTCTGGCCCTAGAGCAGTGGTCGTGTCCCACAGTTTCAGCACAGGACAGGCACACCGTCTGCAGTCACAAGCCGTCCTGTAGTGGGGTCGTAACTTCCTGCCAGGTAGTAGAGATCTTGCCGATCCTGATATTTCTTGCTCCGGGTCAGCTGCTCGTAGTGTTCACGTTCTACCACCTGGCACTTGTGAGAGATGGTCTGGACGTCGTTCTCATCCTCATGGCACGACTGGTACAGCGCATTCTGCAGAAAGGTCAGAAAGAGATATGAAGGACTAAAGGGATAACTTTGCCTTCCATTTTTAAGGGACAAAAAAATCCTCTGCAAAGGCAGCAGTTAACCAGCAAAGTGGAAATTCTCTCCCCAAATGGAATAACAGACTTGTTGGATAAGGTCTGTTAGGTCGACCATTCTATTCTCAGTTAGCTACCTGCTGGTATTTGGCTATAGAACATGAAAGCAAAACTCTTCTCAGGCTCTTGTTCCTTCAAAACTGGCCTTCAAAAGCAAGCTGTCTCCATACCGCCAATCTAACATGGCTGGTAGACACCGATAGTCTCCATTATTTGGTTTTTCACCTCAAATGGTGTCTGTCATACTATTTTATAGCAGTAATTTTTATCATTTGCCCATGCACTCTGTAAGGAATAAGGAACACACATTGCAGGACTCTTATCAGAGGTTCTTTATTTTGAACTTATTTCGGGAATGGGGTGTCTGGGGGGGGCTGAACCTACTACTATTTTTATTTTGTAGGGTAATTTTAGGCTTTACTATTATGATAAGAGGAAAACTTCTCTTTCTCCCTTGTTTGCACTCCAAGCACAATCATATTCTCGGCTCATTTCCTCCTCAAATTTGTTTCCTGTTATAAAATTCCAAACACTGCAAATTTCCCTTAGAAGAGAATTTGCAGAGTGATATGAAAACAGTTCCCAGATCTTTTCTTGGTTGTGTCCCAGTTGAAAGCACTGACCAAGTAAGCCAGAAAAAACCATTGATTTTGGTGTGTATATTGATGTGCATGTGTGGAGCTGGGGGAGTTTACCAATCTTGTCAGAGAATGCTGATGTTTTGCTGGCTCCTGGCTTTTCCCTTGTAAAATTGTAATGTTGTGGTATGTGGGAATAAAAGGCATTGCAAGGAACAAAGGGAAAGGCAATAAATCCTGAAAGTACCAGCACCATATACTTAGTTCCATCTGAATTTAGAGTGAGTTACTCTCGGATACACTCAACTAAAAGCTGAGTGCAGTAAACTTAGAGGTGCTGCTACTAAAGAAGAGATGACAGGTTCATTTACCTTAAGAGATGTCTTCTATATACCGTATTTTTCGGAGTATAAACACACCTTCCCCCCCCCAAAAAAGGGTGAAAATTTGGGTGCGTCTTATACACTAAATGTAGCCCCATGCATCCACCGTCCCCTACCCTTTGGCCTCTGCTTCCCAGCAATTTATCTCCTTGCAGCAAACGGGGAAAATGGGGCTTGCTGAGGTGGCAATAGGGTATGGCAATTGGAAGGCCCCTGCCGAAATTGAAAGTGAAACTTGCTGTTTGCTGCAGAGGCAAATTGCTGGGAGGCAGAAGCAAATTTTTTTTTCTTGTGCTAATCAGGCTATTTGCTGCAAGGACGTAAGTCAATAACTATAAATGCCTATAGAACGTTCAAATTATTAGACTCATTTTTTAAAGACTGCTTTATTATTGTTCTAGACAACTGAACAAAATGAAGAAGCTTTTTAAAATAAATGCTTGATCTGAAGAGGCCCTCTGCTATTGTATCTTCTTTTAAATAGCAGAGAATAACTTCCAGAAAGGCGCATCAATTTTAACAGCATCTGTACAAGTATAGTCTGAAATGTAACACCACAAATAGTGTATATCACCTTTGCTGTTTTTGCAAGGAGGCAAATTGCCGGGAGGCAGAAGCAGATTTCCCCCCCCC